CTGAAATTAATCATATGCTTACAAAGCTTTTGAAAATTACTAAATCTTAATAATTTCGCAATTTGTTTTTAACTTTAAATAAAAAGAAGATATGCACGTATTAAATATCATTGCGGTATTTATTTAAATGTCAGAAAATTTACTATTAACATAAATAATTTTTCATGAAAACTCATTAAGTTTATTTATGTAAGCTGATATATATTAAACCAGTTTACATATATAGTTACATTTATGTGTTTATTATAAGTATAAATGAACATTTAAAGAATTTTGTTTTATGAGTGTTTTATTTATGTGATCGTAAACTCAAAACAAGAGCGCTACGCTTAACAGAGGTCTTGACGCGTTTGACTTTGTTTTGTTTAATGCAGAAAACAAAGCATCGCGCTGTAGAAAAAATACAGAAATCGTTCCAGTCTTACAAATGCTCTTCATGTCTACAAGTCTCGAATCATTTTATTCTGTTTCTTAATATTAAAAAAATAATTGATTGATAACTTTAAATGAGGTGTTAGTGGTGTTTTTTTATAATTCGGTCATAGTTCTGATTTTATTTTTTAATTGAATATGAGTGGCTACCGAAAAAAACTTAGTGGTGCAGAATATCGTAAAAGAAAAGCAGAAGAATCTACAAAAATAGACAGTTTACTAAAAAAAATTCCAAAAATATCTAATTTTATTACAAGCTCAACTAATTCTTCTAATAATGACCAACAACCGTCATGTTCATCTGTCGTAAGTATTTTGTTATAATTGTAAATAACTTTTTTTTCAATATAAAGTTTCAATTTCAGTAAAGAGTGAATAAATATCAAGTACCTAAAATTAATTTTTTTTCATAGTCGGAATTGGAAGAAACTTCAGCACAAGATAACGAAGAAGTACTGTCTAACACTTCTCCATCACAAGATACGAACAGGACGCCATCAAATTTCTCTTCATCACATACAGAAGAACTCCAGTCAACAACTGATATTTTACGATTTAATAGTGATCCCGTTTTATGGAATTTGAATGAAGAAACACGGGATTTTATAACTATGAACGGTATACTACGAAATGATAATACGGATTTTAAAAATTCTAAAAATGTATATAATGATAAAACAAGGTATTGTTTCAAAAGTTTATTTCCACGTACATTGAAAAATGGAGAGATTCAACGCCGTGAGTGGTTAATTTATTCAGAAACTAAGGATTCTGTATTTTGTGTTCCATGCTTATTATTTGGTAGAAGTGTTGAAATGAATGCTTTTACTGGTGAAGGATTTCGTGATTGGAAAAACTCAAAAGCACGCCTCGAAGGTCATGAAAATTCTGATTTTCACAAGACTAATGTTAGTTATTTCAAAGCTCGAGCAGTAATTCACGGGCGTGTTGATCAACGTCTAATAAAACAGCTGGATGAGGAAATTACATACTGGAAAAAAATCTTATACCGAGTCATTGCAATTATTAAATCACTAGCAATAAGAGGATTGCCATTTCGAGGAAATTCAGAACGAATCGGAGATCCCCATAATGGAAATTTTTTAGGAACAGTAGAGCTTCTTGCTGAATTTGATCCATTTTTGTCTGAACATCTAAAATTGTACGCGCACCCTGGTAGCGGAAATACATCGTACTTATCTAAAACAATCTATGAAGAGATCATATTATTGATGCAGAATAAAGTACTACAACAAATTTCTAGTGAGGTGCAATCTGCTAAGTATTTTGGTATAATTGTAGATTCTACGCCTGATATTGCACATGTCGATCAGCTTACTATAATTATTGGATATGTACGTGATAACGGTGAAATTGTTGAAAGGTTTCTAGAATTTATACCAAATATCGGCCATAAAGCTAAAGATATTGAGAATGCTTTGTTAAAATCTCTAGAAAATAATGGTTTGGACATAATGAACTGTCGTGGTCAATCTTATGATAATGCAAGCAATATGTCAGGTATTTATTCAGGCCTTCAGACACGAATCAAAACAATTAATCCTCTAGCAGATTACGTTCCTTGTGCTGCTCATTCTTTAAATTTAGTAGGATCATGTGCGGTTGAATCCGTCACAGAAGCAGTCGATTTTTTTTCTACTTTGCAAGAATTATATAATTTTTTCACTGTATCCACCCATCGTTGGGAAATCTTGGTGCAGCGTACAAATTTAAGAGTTAGGAGTCTTTCTCAAACTCGTTGGTCTGCTCGACATGATGCCTGCTACGCGTTAGAAAAAGAATGGTCTGCAATAATTGATGCACTGGAATTTATTGCTGAAAGCGAAGATGAGAAACCCACTACACGGTCTGAAGCTACGGGATTGCAGCGAAAGTTGCAGCATTTAGAAACAGCAATTCTAGTCAACGTTTGGAATGTAATTTTAGATCAATTTAATGCTGCTAGTAAGAAGCTTCAAGAATCTCAAGCTGATTTATCATCGGTTGTGCAGATCTATAGTTCTCTGGCTCTATTTCTTCAGGACATGAGAGACAGACAATTTTCTGAATATGAAGAAAAAGCCAAAACATTATCTGGCGTCCAAGATTATTATCGTTATGATACACGTCGCAAAAAAACTAGAAAAATTCAGCCAGATGAGTCACGGGTAAATGAGAGAATACCTTCTTCTGGACAAGAAAATTTTCGCACAAATGTTTATTACCCTATTTTAGATACTCTGAGTGTGCAATTGGCCGGACGTAAGAGTGCATATGAAAAGCTTTACGAAAAATTTAATTTCTTCGATAATTTATCTGAAATAGATACAACCGAATTAAAAAATCTTGCCAATAAATTAGTCGACAAGTATCCTGACGATTTAGAAGAGACATTAGGCAACGAATGTATTCATTTACATTACCAACTTAAAGATTCTTCAGCAAATACGGAAGATGTACGCTCTGCACAAAATATATGCAATGTATTACACTCATGTAGTCTTCGAGATGTTTACCCAAATGTTAATATTGCTTTACGTATTTTTTTGAGTATTCCAGCTACAAATTGTTCAGGAGAAAGATCTTTTTCTACTTTAAAAAGAGTAAAAACCTATTTACGTGCCAGTATGGGTCAAGATAGACTTAATGCTCTTGCATTATTGTCTATTGAAGCTCAACTAGTTCAAGAAATTGAATATGATGATATAATTGATATTTTTGCGCGTACCAAAGCCAGGAAAAAGAAATTTTAAAATTGATTAATATTAAAACAAAAAAAAACATATTTATTTATTTGTCTAACGTTTATTACTTATATATCTGAAATATTTATTAGTTATAAGTTATATCTTATAATTATTTATAATTGTTAATAAGAATAATAACTAAAAATTATATTTTAACGAAATAAAGTTATTTTAAATTTAGAATAAAAACATTGTATAAAAATTTATTGAATTTATTCTAACATTAAGGGCGGCGCGATAAACAGGGCCTAGGGCGGCATCAAGCCTAAATCCGTCACTGGATGAAACACGATTTCAGACCGAGTGATGCCAGCCCTCGCTTCGCTCGGGCAGGCAACTTCACTCTGGTCTGAAATCGTTTTGTTTCATCCCTAGTCACACAATATACTATTATTAATTTATTTATTTATAATTAATATTATTTATTAACAATCATTAATATTATCATCAATAATAATCTGATATAATTGATATAATTTGACATAAATTTTTTTGAAACTAGTTAAAAACATTAATTTTTAATTTTCAAACATTATTAACAGTTTTGAAAATTTAATTCAAATAATTTGTTTAAATATAATCACGAACAATTAGTTATAGACCGGTGTTCTAACTGCTAGCTCTGACATCACGCGAAAAGAAAGATACATGTGACACAAGCCAACACTTGGGTCTCTCTCTATCGTTTGTTTGATCATGCCTCTCTATCGCTTATTGCGCGCTCTCGCTTGCACGCACAGGCTCAGGCGGAACGTTACATTTTTTCGTGAGCGCTGTCGGTATTCATCAACTTATAAGACGTTATCACGTCAAAAATATTATTTTTCCAGAAGTAATAAACTAGCTTGAAATTTTTCTGTAGGTAAAATATAGATAAAAATTCAACTTGTTCAAAACATCTAGTTTGAAAATTACATTATGCTTTCACCTCATTTTTAACATAAGCTCAAGGTTTTTACTTTCCTCTTAGAAAATTGAAACTTTCCATGTGTGCGTGTGTCTGTTCATTTGTTATCAGTTTATAATTTATTTATCAACATTAGGCAGATTTTGCACGCCTCATTTTTTACCTACCTTAGCTTCTTTATCTTCAATGACCACAATTAATTGACAAGCAATTACTCCAATATGTGACACAGACCTGCCTTTTGTTATAAGACCAAATTTTTTTTTTTGAATTCAATAGAATTTAAATCTCTGAAGACCAAATTAGATTTAAGCATCAAGGTAATTAAGAAATTCGGAAGTAAGAAATAATTTCATACACGTAAAGTTCAAAAAATTGTATGTTTATTTTTTTAACTATTACCAAACTGCATAACAAAGTAAATAAATTAGCAATTAATTTTTCATTGAATAATAATTTTGTACTGTAAAAATTGTGAAAAGTAAAAAATACAATTGGTTATAATTTTGTATTAAAAGCTTATCCATATGTACTTTATGAAAACGGAAAATTGCTTTGTAAGTAAAATAATGGTTGCTTACTTAAAATATTAAAATTATATCGCTGACTACATTGATTTATCAACGAAACTTTCATTATAAAAGTAACTGTAATTTACACACTTTAAATATCAATTTTAGAGTCAAATCGTTAAAAAAAAATTAAGTTTTACTTTACGGAAGATAATTCATAAAAAAATGCCTACTAATAAGAAAAAGTACATTTGAAAAATTTAAATACCTTAATATCATTTTACTATAGGAAATACTATTAAAAATCTTATGAATATTAACTACATGACAACATTTCGGTATGAAAAGTAAGTGTAAAATTTTTATCGAACATATGAAAATATGAAAATTTTTCATGGAACATCAACACTTTTTTTTAAGGGGGGATGTATTCTGCTCCATCGGTTCATCACTTTTACGTTTTTTTCGTACGAGATGAGAGATATCAGTAACAGATTTACTTTCTTTTGAAGATGAAATATTTTCTGCAGTATTAGCCATTGTAGAACTTGTACTTGCACCATTGTGCGGAACACTAGTAACTTTGTTTTTAATCCCTTCAATGACAAGTTTACAAGCTTCTTGCTTAAAATCAGTCATATCTGTGATTTTTTCTTGAATTTCTGGTAATAGTTCTTTTAGCTCTTTGATTTCGTTTTCAACTGTATAAAATGGATCATCTGATTTGGGGGGTTCTTTCATGGTTTCTAATTGATTGATTTTTAATTCTAATAAGCTCGTCGCTTTATTGAATTGTTGAATACTTGAATCGAACTCATTAAGTAGTGAATAAGCTAAACCTAGTTGATAATGAAGCTCTGCCAAAACCCTTGGATCAAAAAATTCTTCATTACTAAATATTTTTAAAGCTTGTTTAAGATCAGTGATGGCAACTTGATGATTACCACTTTCCATAGCCACTTCACCCAACAATCTATATGTTTCTGCAAGACTTTTAAGACCAGAAGACCCGCGCTTTTGGAAAACAATTTTAGCAAGCTCAAGAACTTCCCAGGCAACTTGCAAATCAATCCCATTTCCAGACTCATTATCATCATCCTCCATACCTGAGTTTTCATCAATTTTTTCATTTTCTAATGTTAATCTGTCTGTTACATCGGTATTCAAATTTTCAATCGTTGATGTTGTGTCTTTACTTGAACCAGGTACAATCGCCACCTTTTTTTCAATTGATATATTATTTGAATCATTAAGGTCATCTGGCTTTGGGTTGTTAAGCATTTCGCCATTTTTTTCATCTGTATCATTCGATTTTTCCTCACTACTGTCTTCATCTTCACTGTCAACATTATCTCCTTCTTCGGAACCTGGAACACCACCACCTAATATTCCAGCTTCTTCTCGTGCTAAACCAAGTAAAGCACGACCATAAATGAGATAAGGTTCGCCTAATTCATCGGCATTTTCACCATGTGTTTGTGATAATATTCTTAAACCTTCTGCTAAAGCAGCTACAGCCGCTGTATAATCTCGAACCAAGAGGTGGCGTTTTCCATGAGATATTGCTGTAACAGCATCTGGATATGAAACGTTTTCTAAACTATTAGTCGCCTGAAAAGTGAAAAATTAATACTTTAATGAAATTAGCCATTTCAGACAAGCATTATATTCAGTTGACATTCGTAAATGAAGTTATTTTTATTATAAGCATATAAACTTTTTGTTTTAAACTTCTCACTATTACTTTACATTTCTAAAGTCAAATGTTCATCAAATTTTTACGTTTTCAGGTCCTAGGAAGTTATTCTATATCCGACTGGACGTATGTCCGTGTATTTGCATGTAAATAGAATTGAATTTGTTTGGTAAATATTTAAAAGTAGGGTTAACCCTATTTTCGGCCATAAAAAATAGATGAATTGATTATCATTTTTTTTTTTAATTCTTTGTTTTTACGGCGGATTTATGGTGATGAAAGCGAAAATTTGTTTAAGGGGGAACACCACTGTGACAATCGAAAAAAAGAGGTGATTTTCGGGAATTTTTTTGACAGGGAAAATAAAGGAATTTGCGAATCGGATTTTTTTTATTTTATTAAGGGTACATTATAAAGATTATTACCCTAAATTTTTATTAAAAAATATTTAATTATTACAAAGTTATTAACAATCTCGTAGAGTACTAGAAAAAAATTCCCCCTTCATGGTCGGTTCGATAACTCAAAAACGGATCATCTAAAAATAAAAAGCCAAATTGCTTTTTAATCAGTAAGGATGTAGTTATCGTCGCACGTGCGGAATTTTGAAAATTCCAATTTAAAAAAAAATGGCGACTGATTGAAAATTTTCTCACTATTCTTACTGTTTTTTTTTTGTTTTAACCTGGCTAAATAAATCTTTAAAATAAAAATTTTTCAAATTCCATACGTGCGACGATAACTACATCCTTACTGATTAAAAAGCAATTTGGGTTATTACTTTCAGATGATTTGTTTTTGAGTTATCGAACCGACCGTGGAGGGGGGAAATTTTCTAGTGCTCTACGAGATTGTTAATAACTTTGTAATAATTAAATATTTTTCAATAAAAATTTAG